AAGCCTACCCATGTTCCCACCAAAGATACAACTGGGGGAGACGGCTCGGCACCCCCTTGTTTTAAAGTTCCTGTAGGGTAGAAACCTGGCTTCTTTCACCTTTGTCCTTAGTGCTTCATGCAGGTGGCACAAGGAAAGTGCGCAAAAAATATTTGTTGAGGAAAACAAAGAAACGGGAGGAGAGGAAGAGGTCACACAACAGAGAGAAGAAATGGTTTGCTCTTCTGTGTGGGTTTTTCCTATTTTCACTTCTTCCAACCTCAATCATTGATCCATTCAACACATAGTCAGTGCCTACTGTGTGCCAGGCCCTGAGCTGGGCAATGGAGCTATGAGGACAAAGCAGATTCTTGTCACCCGAGCTCTCAAATGACACCGAGGAGGCAGCAGTGACAAGCATTTCCTGGGGGAAGAAGGAGGCTGAGCAAGGTGCGGCTCAATTCTCTCCTTCATGTTCACTCTGTAGCTGGAAGAGCAGAGAGGAGCCTGGACCTTAACTCACAAGTGTAATTGTGGCTTCGCAGGTTCCTTTTTCTCTCTCATATATTGTATCTTATTTGTTCTTTGGACATGCACAGTGAAATGAGTAAGTGCTATGTCATCAGAAGGCCTGGGGCTTTTAGTCTCAGTCGTACCTCTTTAAGGAGAGAGACCTTTGCAAGACACCTGCACTCATGCACAACGAAGATCATAATTACCCAGGACTGAGGTGAGATTCAGAGGAACACTGTTCACAGTGCTTTTTAAACTAGAGGTGTTAGATGTTTAAATATCTATGTATCTATCATCTATCTATCGCAGGCAATACGGACCCCTGGGAGCATCTAGGGAAGGTGTTATCATTAATCCTAAAATACTGATGAGGAAAACAAGACTCAGGAACCTCCAGTTGCCCTGGCTGAATGACTTAGGGAATAAGCCCTGGGCAGAGTTATCTGACCTCAGATTTCCAGCAGAGTTGAGACTCTGGACCAAGAGCGCCTGGGGACCTCAGGACCCGACTGAACTCTCAGCAAACCTTCTTCTAAGACAAGAAGTCAAAATTCTGTAAATCAAGTATCACAGACCCTGAGGAAATAAAAACTTGAGACTGAGAGCAGCAGCCTTTAAGAATGGTGGCCCCACTTCCATGCCCTTTCCCAGGGGATGTGGTGCCAGTATGGGTGGGGTTGGACCCACTGGGCACGATGGGGAGCCATGTGCTCCTGGGAAACTGGCTCTGCAGCGGACAGACTCTTGGGCTCACTGATTACTGTGAAGGACCCACAGGTGAGCCTGCTGTGGTCAATCAACAAACGTGCAGGAAGCAGCGGGCCCTGGAGGAGCTTGTCCCCCTACCTGGGATCACTGGAGTTGGATCACAGGACTGGCCCGGAGAGGTGCAGTGAACATGCTGAAGGGATTAAATAAGGAGCAACTGAAGACAGAAAGGCTGAACAACACATGACCGTGATTTCATGCAGCAATAAAAATACAGAGACACCAACCCAATCCAGCCTGCCAGGCCTTGAAATCCTGACATGTCAGGGTCCCATTAATCTTTCGGGCAGGTCTGGCCTTTTACCTGGCAGAGCTGTTGGGGGCACCCAGAACAGGCTTACCACGCAGACACAACCACACAGGCCTGTGACCTCTTTCTCTCAATAGCTGATGGGCTCCCCGGGATCAGTGATTACCATCAGGCTGTTTTCAAATGTCTCTATTTCCAGGAGAAGCAAAAGCGGACTCATTTAGGTTTGATTTCAGTCTTCCCCCAGAGAGAATTTTAAAAAGGAACCAGACGTATTCTGATTTCTACAACTCGCCACGCAGCTGCAAAGCCCGCCTCAGGTGGGGTATGGACATGACCCAGAACCTGCTGAGCAGAGCAGCTGCTTTCTGCTAACCTTTTCTACCTCAGTGCTGCTTAACTTCGAACCTGAGCTAGGATTTCAGAAATGCACTAGCTGACACTATACCCCACCCTTAAGAGGCCAAAGGGAGCAGAGAGAGGTTACTGCTGCATTTATTCATGAAATGGGAAAAGTCACGGGGATCAAAAATAACAATGAGTATTACTTTACACGGAACAAAAATAACAATGGACAGAGAGCATGGAGTTGAGCTACACTGAGTTCGCTCAGTTAAAAAGGATGCACCTTCCACTGTCCACGGGTAAAAATGAAACTGACATCCATTTGCAGAGGTCATAATTCAGGCTTAAATCAAGGATGCAAAACAGCCCGTGTCCTAAAAGAAGGTTTTTGATTTTGTTTGCCAAAAAAGCCATTTTGGAATCATTAGCAGTTAGTTGAAATAACAGATTCTGTGATATTGCCAGGACCTGCCAAATGTATGTCGGATGTCAAATGCACAAGACCCTCATGTTTACACAGACATTTGTGAGAACGTCAGAACCTTTCATTGAGACCCAACCCTGTAAGTGAACCCAGTCATGGATACGTGGAAATTTGCAAAATCAAATTCACAGCCTTCTTGTTTCCAATTCTCAGAAGAATACTGAGAATCCTTTCTTAACAATACATAGTTAGGCTCACATTGGGTCTCACAAGTTTAATGAAGTAAATTAGTTAACCCCCCCCCCTTTTTTAAAAACAAAGCATTATTTAAAATTGGCAAGCATTGATCAGACCGTCAAACCTCAGAGGGAAGGTAGGGGTAAGGGGGAGAGATCAACCAAAGGACTTGTATGCATGCATATAAGCCCAACCAATGGACACAGACAACGGGGGGAGGGGGAGGGCATATGTGGGAGGTAGGGGGGGCAATGGGAGGATAAGGACACATATGTAATACCTTAATCAATAAAGAAAAAAAATTGGCAAGAGGGAAATAACTGCCGTCAGCTATGTATGTGAAAACAAATCTCTCTCCCAGTAATAATCTGCTAGCATTTAAAAACAATGTCCTTAAACCATTTAATAATCACATTTCTAATATATCTCTAAGAATTATAGCTAAATCAGAATAAAGTACATTCTATGGACAAAGCTGAGGGTGATTTTAAAATCTCTAAGAGTTTATAGGTATATGACTTTTAAGTATATAATATAGTATCAACTTAATTGTCCTTTATTTTGGCTCATCTAATTTACAAACATGATTTCTGAAGGGTAACAGTATTTGTAATGGCACTGTCCAAAGCAATTTTGGCTGAGTAAAGTGCTATTTGTTGAATAAAAATGTAGTTGTTTGTGCAAGTTTAACATTTCACAAGGCCAGCTGAGTTCACTTCAACCCTACTTACAAAGTAATTATTGGCAAATGAAATGGGCTAGGGGTAGAGAAAAGACGTTTTCAAGCTTCTGAGCGATTTACAAAACCAAGTTCTTCAATCATTGAAAGTAAAATTGAAAGGTCACAAACAATTAAAAGGTACAGGTTTAAGTCTCGGGATTAAGATGGTTCCAACAAGAGGAATATTTACAATGGAACAATGAGGAAAATGTTTCGTTACAGTCAGAAACATGGAAAATATGCCGTTGAAAATTGTTGGCTCTGAAATAAATAAAATCCAGACTGAGACTATTAAAAATATCAAAGTGATCTACTATGTGCCAACTCTATTTTCTTCTGTTGTTTGTTAGAAAGAAAATCCGTTATTGAATATAATGCAGTTCTGGTTAAATTACCAAAGACATTTTCCGTATATGCAAACTGTCGTTTACCATATGCTATATATTCTCCCCTAATAATTTTAGCACACTTCCATCACAGAGCCATAGGCGCAGAGTTAGAAGGAAATTTTGAGTCATAAATTTAACTTCCTAACCAAGATACAAGTCCTTTCCAAAATAGTTATTCAACTCATCTCTATTGAGCACCTATTCTGAGCAAGGGTTTTTGGATGGCAAAATGAGATATGAAAAATACTTTAAAATGTTCAGGTAGCCCTAGCCAGTTTGGCTCAGTGGATAGAGTGTTGGCCTGCGGACTAAAGGGTCCCAGGTTCGATTCTGGTGGGGCGTGCAGGAGGCAGCCGGTCAATGATTCTCTCATCATTGATGTTTCTATCTCTCTCCCTCTCCCTTCCTCTCTGAAATCAATAAAACTATATTTAAAAAAATAAAAATATATTTTAAAAAATGTTCAGATAGAAGAAAGCAAATTTTTCCATTGGCCGACATTATGCCTAAACTGAAACCATCCAGCTAGTGACAGGGATTGAGTCACCACATTGCAAGGAAACCCATTGTCTAAGAGGGTAGCTCCAGAACGAGGCAGGTAAGTGCTAAACTGAATGGCACTCCCAGTGATCCTGGTTTTGTCTTCTGGGACATTCCTGTTCCATCCTCTTTAACTGTCCACAGATTTTGAGAGGATTTGTCTGAGTCCTGTACGGTTTCTCATCCATTCTCACGGTAATCTCATTCACCTTTATTTTCACTACCATTGACCTTCCTGGTATTTTAAAAATCATTTCATATCATTTGAATGAGCTTGTCAACGATTCCATATTGCACTTAAAATAAAACTGCATTTTCAAATTATGACATTCAGAAAACAAGATTAATAGCCTTCAATTGTATTCAATTTGGAATTATCCCTTTGTAATTAGACTAGTACTAACAACAGATGTTTAGGGGGAAAAGAGGGACGGAACACCTAAGGCTTGCTAACACTGTGTATATATTCGAGGAAAGGGGGCATGATAAATCTCTTGTAATGAAATGCATGTGCTCTAAGACAATGACTAAACTTGAGATTTTTAAAGCACTTAAATCTAGTAGTTTAAGTCACCGGAGTAATTAGGTCATGCTTTAGAAATGATGCTCCCATCTAAATCTCTCACTGGTGAGAAATAACGCTGCTGTCTTTAGTGAATTATGAAACAAGAGACTGACTCAAATATGTTAAGTATGCTCACAGTGGTTATACATTTGGCACCTTTAGAAGCTGTAAGTAACAGACCCAGGATAATTCAAATTCAGGAGACTTTATTTAGCCTCCAGAATGGCCCCTCCAATGCCACATCCATGCAAGCACACAAAATCAAGGGGTACACTAAAAAAAAGAAGAGACTGTTTTATTGTGACATTTATGACATGGAGCCCTTGTGGACATGAATGACCAAGGGCCATCTTGGCAGATGGCACAGGGGTGATGAAGGATGCACTGGTGACGTTCTGGCTGCTGAGGCTGTTTCTTGGTCCTCCCAGACCTCCATGCACGTGCGGGCCAGTCACAGAAATTTCAATACCACTTGGTGTACACATTTAACAAGTCTTTGGTCTTAATAAGCACCATTACAAACCCTCACGTTAAGGGTATTATTATTCTAGTTTATAAATGTTTCAATGATAAAAATAGCACGATTACAGTATACACACACTTAATTTACATGTAATGTATTATACTCATAACTGAGATAAGCTACTGAACTAACTTTGGTTGATTGAAATGAATGAAGTATTTGAGCTGAATAGTTGGAATTTGGTTTCTAAGTTGTGTAAATATTACAGTGCATTTATGAATCTAGTTTGAGAATTTACTAGCACCAAGTAGATATTAGAAATGGCCAACCTAGTACTTTTATTTGGAGAAGCGAAGTTTTAAAGTCTGAAAAAAAAATAGAAGTCCAACAATTGAAAGCACATTCCCGTATGTCTGCTAGAAGGATGGCACGTGAGCGTGGATGGCCAGCTCCCGGTGGAAATACACATCCCAGTTTTCAAGAATCAACACATATGTCAAGGTAGCTTCGCTACACACACGAGAAGCCTGAGAAAGTGGTTGTTTTGAACTAGGGTAGTCTCCTGTACCTTGCTTTGGTAATACAAGAATAGTGCTTATTTATAGAAATTGATGTGGTGAAAGATTGTACCTATGATATAAAATTCTGACTTGGGGGAAAATTCAGTTCTACCTATCTATCTTTGGTTTTTAATTATTGGGTCTCTGGATGGTGAATTAATGAAGCAAAATCTGAATTTTCATCTTCAGATTATCACCCAGTTCACCACTGAGGTAGTCTTTGTCATATTTGTCTTCTAGCTGGTTCAGTTCTTTCTTCTTATAAAGTGGAGTGCTGCTGATTTGTAATGAATAGGTTCCAGCCACTGGCTTCTTCTTCGTGAAGTGGAGGTAGCTGATCCCTTCCTTTTGGTTGATTTTAAAGAAGCCATTTTCATTCCCAGATTCAATCAAGTATCTGTTGTGATTCGTTAGCGTTGTAAGAGCCGGAAGGAGTTCTAGGATTCGGACCTTGTTGCTGATGTGGGAAATATTGAACGCGAACATGGCTATCTTCTCAGCGTCCCAACTGGCAAGACTCACATTGGCTTCTTTCTCTGGCTGATCCTGGAAAGACACGTGGAGTGTGTTAAATAAACTGTAGAAAGGCACTTGTCTCCCTTTATAAAGGAAAATTAACGTGATTCCCACACTGATACAACTTTCTTCTCAGGTTGTATAAACTATATTGAAAAAGCATATTCATAAAGCACATTTTTAAAACCACAGGTGTTAAGTTGGCACATATTTGTAATATTAAAAATATTAAATATTAAGAAGAAGGTTGGGTTGAAATCACTTGTATTTGTAGGTCTTTTAACAGGGTGGGCCTCCAAGCGTGGCCCCCGGGCCAGCAGCCTCAGCATCGCCTGGGAATCTGTTAGGAATGCAAATCCTTGGTGCCACCCCAGGGGGACGGAATCAGAAGCCCCGGGGGTGTCTCCCAGAAATCCATTTTCACAAGCCTTCGAGATAATTCAGATGCACACTTAAATCTGAGAACCACTGCTTTAATAGAGTATTTTCTTTCTAAAGATTATCTCATTTCCTAAACCACAGCAGATGCATTACAGCACTGATGCTTAAGAAAGAACCAGTCTATTTCAATTTTGTTCACGGATGCAAAACCGTTCCCTCCAAAGGACACACCTATGAACCTACTTCCTGACTCTGATGATCTGCTAATGTTCAATGCTTTGCACCTGGCTTCTTGCTTGCCTCTCTGGGACCAGATGTGCTAGATTCTCAGGGCTGGGAGCCAGAGGTCTGGGTGAATATCTGTGCATTTCTGAGTTGACTGAGAGGCTGAGGCAGCCGTAGGCAAAGCAAACCAGGCTGCCTGAGCTCCATGTTGTTCTTGTCTAGAATCCAAGTTCCCTCACACTCCACATGGCTCTTTTCAGGAGAGCAGCCCCTAGCTTCAGAACTTGGCGTCCCTGAGTAGGAAGCACTATGTCACTTCGCTATTCTGCCCACTGGCTGTCCTGGTTCAGACCTCGTCCTTTCAGCAGACTCTGGGTGGGTGTTTGACTTTCTTTTTGGCGAGACAGAGGAAATGAGCAAGTATGTGAAAACCTTTGAATGGCCACTCCCTAAAGCCAGCAAGAAAGCCCAGAGAGCCCCACAGACTCTTGTAAAATGCAGCCTAGAGCTCGGGGAATGTCTGGATTTTTTCCCTGGGGAGCCTTTGCTCACTGTGGAGCATCCTTAGAGGAAACCACAGGAACCTGGAAGGCCCTTCTGCCCTAGGAGACATCAGGAGCCACCACTCTGTACCCACCTCGATGTGGGAGGCATCTGTTTCATTGGCGCTTCTCCGTTTCCTGCCCCGTTTTGGGTAACCGTTGATCTTACATTCATAACAAGCCTCTGGGGAGAGGGAATTGTCATCCATTTCTCCGCTGGCAGGTGGCTCTGGGCCTCCTCGGCCCATGCCCATTCCAGATACACAGTGCCTGTGGGAGAACGGAAAGGCAGCACAGACATTTATTATTAGAAGTGGGTCACAGGGAGGTGATATGACAATTCTGGTGAAACCTGGTGACATTCAGCCCTTGACTATATGTCCATTGGGTGATTGGACGGTTCTGAGAACCATATTGAAGTCCTCTGTGGTTGCCCTCTTATTCCTGGCTGCTTGGTTTATTGATTTTTTCTCCATTCTCTTAGGGCTCTATTTTGAATATGATTTGCCCCTTTGTTCCCTAAGCCTAATGTGGCAGGCGATTTGCTGTACTTACATGGGGAAGGGACATGGAGTGTTGTTTTCCTCCTGTCTTGGAAAGACCATGAAATTTGGAGGTTAAATAAAAATCTTGTTTTTATGAAATTGGTTCCACGGGAGTGAGAAAAGTATAAGACATCACTGTTCAGTTCCTTGCCCTCTTCCCAACTAATGGATGCCATCACTGCCACCTCCACTTCCATCACCACCACCACCATCACCACCCTTCATAGCTCCAGCTTTTTAGCAATCTCTCCTATTATTTGACCTCTGACTTGGGCTGAAGCTACTGAAAATAGGAAGAAAGCTCTTAGGTGATACTTGAGGTTGACTTAGAAATAAATTGGGAAGATATGCAACGTATAAAACACATGTATCAGAGCCTGCTCAACTGTGGGAAATTGTTTCAAGTCATTCAAAACCACTAGGGCCATTGGCTCTGACTCATGTGAGGCTGGACAAACAAACCCATTGCCCAAGAGAGAACTAGTTCAGCTGTTTTTCTTTGCCTTTTAGTTATCAAAGCCAGATTATGATCGGAGGCTTGCATGTTTCACAAGTACCTTGTTTTCTTATTCTGCTATTTCATAGGCCACTTGGAATGTACTTAGTAGGCTCCCCTTTCAAAATGTGTTGAAATATCTGAATGACTCAAAAAGAATCTTTATTTTGGGGACCTGGTCTTATCCCTCTAGTGATTCATAGAGAAGCCAAAGCTGTATATAAATGGGTACAATGGGTAAAATGTAGACCATGTATTATTTATCTCTTTTTCTGTATTAGCTGGCCTACTCTTTATAACCCATCTTCCTTTATGCCGTTAAGATTCAATATAGGCCTTGGCCAGGCAGCTCAGTTGGTTAGAGTGTCATTCTGATACACCAATGTTGTAGGTTCAATCCCTAGTCGGGGCACATACAAGAATCAACCAGTGAATGCATAAATAAGTGGAACAACAAATCAATGTTTCTCTCTCACTCTCTTTCTCTCAATCAATAAAAGAAGATTCAATATACAGATTCCTATCATTTTTTTTCAATGCTGCCAGAGCCCTTTTCTTCTTTCTTTATGTTGCAACATGAAATGTGTAGAACCAATAATAATGAATGAAATGATAAATGCTCATCGTGTGTGTGTGTGTGTGTGTGTGTGTGTGTGTAGGTGTGTGTCCCCTTTTTTAAGGACATCAGTTATGCTGAAGTAAGTGCCTAACCTACTTCATTGTGAACTTATGCTAAGCTACATCTACAAGCATCCTCACATCCCTGCAACACCACTTACAAGAAGTGTGACTATGAAGTCCCAGTGGCCAGAAGCCAGTGTGGAGTGTCACAATTTTTTGCTAGGAAAATGGCTCTGGCATTAAACTTAAAAAGAATGAGTTTCCTGAGAGCCGGCACAGACATGTGGGAATTTGTGTCCCATGGCTGGCATCCTGTATGCTTCCCATCAAGCATTCTTTTGCCATTTGTGTCAAGAAATCAAAGGCCACTAAGTTAATAACTTGATAAATACATGTATGTGTATGTTGGGAAACATGTAACTAACTTTGTGTGGGGGGTGTATATGTGTGTGTGCAGGGGCATACGTGTGTTTGCACATTTAATGTCTGTGTGTTCCCAATTAAAATATTAAAGCTTGAGATCCTTCACAGGATAGACAAAAACTTGACAGACATCCAAGTCTAGACGAAGTCGGCAGGGAAAAAGACCTAAACTTTGAAAACTTGCGACCCAATTTAAAACACTGAGTAAAATAAAAAGAGGTCTTCGCTGTCCCAGCTCACATACATTCAAAGCAGTGAAATATTTTACCTGGAAAATGTAATAACTACTTCAACTCTCATTTTAATACCCATTTTGGTCATTTTCATGTAAATTTAAGTCTAAAATGTGAAATATACTTTAAAACCGCACAGAAGGTATCTTTTGGATTTATCTTACTGGGCGTTGGGCAAGATGGCATTTTAAGTTCAGACAGAATACTACTTGCCCAAGAAGAGAGGGAAGCAACAATGTGCTACATGAGCCCAGCTTTGTCACGGGTCAGCCCCCGTATCTCCTGAGAAATGAATCACTTTCCAACAAGATGTGTAGATCAAGCTGGAGAATGAGATAGACTATTTTGTTTGACTTCTATAAATTTTCAGAACTGTAGATGCCCCCTTTCAAATAAAGTAACCACAGCCTCTATGGAGCTAACTGGAATTAACTCAAGGGTTATAAAATGTATAACTCTGCTCTCTGAGAACAGTTAAATATGCTGGATTACACCGTAAATGAGAGAGCCTCCCACCAGGACCGCAAGTAGCAGTGCTTACCCTTGGCCGATCCGGAAGTAACCTGGTGGGCAGCCACACAGGTAGCCGCCCTCAGTGTTGGAACAGCCGTAGCTGCAGGGAGCCTGGGAAGAGCCACATTCGTTGATGTCCTGGCATCCTCCGCTGAACTGCTCGTACTGGAAGCCGGTGGGACACATGCACTTGTAGCTCCCCAGGGTGTTGTGACAGGAGGCTCCTCCGCAGATGTGAGCGCTGAGGCATTCGTTTTCATCTGCAGGAGGAACCAGAAGACAAGGCATATGTGACATCGGCCAGAGGCTTCTATCGGGGAGTCTGGGTCAAGTCACTGGCTGCTGGCCAGCTGGCCCTCGGCCAGGCTCTCAGGAAGCTGAAGCAGGTAGAGGCGTCTGGGATGAGAAAAGGAAAACAAGAGAAAGATATGGAAATGGATGTAGGCTTTTGCCATGTGGTGAACAAATGTGTTCGACAAGGTCAAATGCACCGGGCGGAGGACAATAGAGCACGGCATTCTGAGAACCGACAGACTCTAATTTTCACTGGAAGCCTACAGGAGTATGTTCATGTGCACCCCATCAAGATCGTGGGGCTGGTTCATAGCTGAGGTTCAGGGTTGAGGGTGAGAGGGAAGGAATCACCCAGTTCTCTGTGCAACGGTAGGACTGTCTCTAAAGCAAAGACCGAGCACATTCCTGGAGGTTGCTTTTCCATCTCCCTTTTTCAGGATGTACGGGGCTGGCAAGGGCTGACACCTGCAAAAAGTGTCTTCCCCCCTTGGCCTTCCTTTTCAAAAATCTGCATTGGCCCCCCAGTGTTTGTGCTGGGGATGAGTAGTACCTTTTGGTATGCCCACTCCCATCTCTGAATGGGTTCCCCCTTATCCAAACCAGACTCCCCCCCGAGAGTCTGGGCCGTGTTAACGCTAAGTACGGCTGGGAGAGATGCGTGCAAACTTCTTGAGAAATAATTCTGGAAAACCCACAAGAGAGACAGATGGTGCAGACCGGCTGCCCACAGGGACCTGCCAAGTCTGATAGTAATAAGCAGGGGGAAAATCTAACTTAAGTCAACAGGAAGGGAAAAAACCTTGAATTTCTCATTATTTCTAATTTATATTTTCTGAAACCTCCAGTATATTTTTGTAGACCTGCTTCTGTAGGGCAGGTTGGAAACTTTCTGGCAAGACAGTTGTTAATCGCTACAGCTCATGTTTAGACGGATGCTCATTTCAATGCAGGTAGACTGGCCTTCTCCTCACTTAGCAAACACTTCCAATAAAAGGGAGGAGGGAGAAGGTAATTGGCATTTATCAGATGCCTGCTGCATGACATATGGGAGACTAGGTGCTCCACATTCATTTACTTCACCTTCCTAACAGTCATGGGAGGGAGGTATTATCATCCCTGTTGATGAAGAGAGTGAGGCTCACAAAGCCCCTGTGATCCCCACAGCCGCGGTGGGCAGAGCTACACCCAGGTCTGTCTGACTGCAGCAACTACGTGCTTCCCTTTATGCCAGGATGTTTCTCCAGAGACTCACCTCCATCTAAACTCATACTTCCTTTCTTCTTTAATTACTTTTGCTTTATTTGGTTCATGTAGAAAACTTAATTCTTAGAAATCAAGAATTCTTAGAAATTAAGAAATTAAGTGACTGTCCGACCATTTGACCATCCAACTGGTAACTGTGACATGCAATGACCACCAGGGGGCAGACGCTCAACATAGGACCTGGCAAGCTGCAGTGACTTGGCAGCTGCGGTTCTCAGGTGACCCACCAGAACTAGAGAGGAGGGAGTCTGATTCCGGGGTGCCTCTTGCAATCCGGGACCCCTCAGGGGATGTGGGGAAAGACCTGTCATGGTGTGTTTTTCCCTAAGATACAGAATTAGGAGCAATGGTTAGAAGTTAGAGGGAGGAAAGGTTTATTCTCTCTGAAAAATACATTTCTAAGAATTGTTTTCTATATAGAGATTGGCCTATGTTGGCGGAAAGTGCCCTTCAAGGTGGCATTTATATCAAACGTGGATGACCAGGGAGGTAGGAATAGGGTTTGTATATTAGGAATAAGGTCAGACTAGATAATCTCTAGATAATCTCCTTTTGCACTTTGAACATCAATTTCAGTTGAGAACTCCCCTCCCCTTTTATATCCTTTCCTATTTATTTTACGTTTTTCCCTCCCAGAGAACCTAGTAAAGTTTAAATTAAACTTGCTTATCGGGGTTGGAGAGGTGGGGTAGAGTGGAGCACGAACTAAGATAAGAATTTGGCAAATGTTCAGTATTTATAGCTTGACAATACTCAGTGCACTCACCCTTTTTTATCAATATACAAACACCACAATTTGTTTAACATGCTTTGCACTTTTCCTGACCTTTTCACCCTGTGCACCTGGAGCAAAGGGCTCCACAAGGAATTTTTCTACACTCCCAAATCTTCGTTTTATTCTTGCTGTTGGTTCTTACATTGGTGAGGGTTTTGTTCTTTTTATTAAAAAAGGACAATTCTAATTTTATTGAAACAGCGTTAGAGTCTCCAAAACAATACTCCTTAAAAGCAGCTTGAGACCTAACCACCCTGTCCTCGAAAATAAAAGCTGTCAGCCTTTGGTGTGCATAGTGTTAGCGGTGAATTCCAAAATGTAGGATGGGCTTTCTTTTACTCATTTTCTCTAGGTCAAAATGGGCCAACTCCAACGGCAAGCTGTAAGTTTGATATTTCTTAGAAAACAATGAAATCCAGTGGCTCCTGGTCCCAAACCCATCCATCCTCTGAGAGTGAGCTTCAGTCTGGGCTGATCTAAGAGATCTGCTCTGCTCTGCATGGCTGTGGGGAAACCATTCTGATTCAAGGCAACCCACACTCTGGATAACTATAATTCTCAAGAATTATGAGCTACGTTTGGACTGGTATCTTTTGGGCATCAAAAACTCCCAAACCTATTTTTGCTTCTTTTTTTAAAAAATATGTTTTTAAAAAATTGATTTTAGAGAGAGAGAGAGGAAGGGACACACAGGGAGAGAAACATTAACGTGAGAAAGAAACATCAATTGGTTGCCTCCTGCACACACCCTGACTGGGATCAACCCCAGGTATGTACCCTGGCCAGGAATCAAACAGGCAACCCTTTGGTGCCTGGGAAGATGCTCAACCAACTGCCACACTGACCAGGGCTCTTCTTGCTTCTTAATCAATATATTTATCTATAACTTCAGCCAGGAGATGACCTTCATGGGGCCAAAGTTGAATCCCCAGACAACTAGGGCACGACCTGGCCATCTCTACTATCCCTGGACTGAAGGTAGGGAGAGGAGGGAGGGAAAGGAGGGCAAAAGCTCAACCATGGTGGATCTCACCTCTCTTATCCTTCCTGCCCGCCCTCCTGCTCCCCCGCCCCCCGCACCCAGGTCAAATTTAATTCAAGGAACCTACATAACGAGGACAACTCATTCTGAAAGTCTGTGGAAAGTGTCAGAATTTGGTAACTAAAATTCAAGACCTTCCTGAGCCCATAACAGTGAAGGCATTTTTATTAAAACCAGACAGCTGGTCAGCAACACGTGCGGTCTAAACTCCTCTAGCACTGGGGTCATTTTAGCCAATCCTACTCACTTCTGCAAAACTGTGTCTTGTAATAAATCAAACCAGATGAGAAAGACACAATTTTGAGAACAAAATGAAAACACTGAATGACGTGTCTGGAGTAAAGTGAAGCAAGGGAATGCGGAGCTCCACTCCCACTTCCCTAACAAAAGACAAGACAAGGAATTCTCTTGCCTTTGCTAAGGAGGGCTCCCCTGCAGTGTGGCAGCTGGGACAGGTCACAGATGCTTCTGGAGTGGAAACAGGAGTGATGCTTAAAGTTAAGAGCCTTGGGCTCTAGCTCCAGACGTATCACAAGAGAACCTGTGGAAAGGCAACTTCCCTCTCCCCCTTGAGCTTCCAGGTCCTCAACAGGAAATCAAAGAGCTCAGGCTGCTAGGTGGGTCAGGGGTCCCTCTAAACTCACCATGTTTGAATTCTCTGATGTGCATTAAGAATTAGCCCTGGCCGATGTAGCCTAGTGGTTAGAGCAGTGGTTGGCAAACTGCGGCTCATGAG